TTGGTTATTTAATCAATATAATTCTAAAATTTCCAATATAATGATGAATATATTTTTCATGTTAACGCCTATGAAAAATCGAGCAGTTCCCTATGGGTTTCGTATTATTAGCTCTGTTAGGAAAATTTGAACTATAAGGTTGATGTTCTGGAAATTTTAAATACAAGTGATGTCACTTTATATAAATCGTGACTTGCAAGTGTTTTACTTTGAAAAATGGTATACGTTGTCATCTGCACTATAACGGATTACTACAAGTCGGTATTGGTTGAACTACCTGTATTAAACAGCGTAATTTCACAATGGTTTATAAGTAGTCATATGATAATAAGAAATATTAAAACAGTTTTGTAGCATTATAAACGTCACATTTTAATTAATTTATATTTAAATAATTATTTTATTTTAATTTTTTTTATTAATTTAATAATTCCTTAACATTCAGTTTGTTTTTTACTATTTTTCCTTCAAAAAATAGTTGGCGCCCTCTTTTTTGTCCGGTAGACTAAATATTCTGTTCTATGTATAACCAACCCTATTGAAGCTGACAATGGGGTAAGACAGGGAGATTTATTGAGTCCTCTATTGTTCAACGTGATTATCGATGAAATTATAATAAAAAAAGAGAGAACTAAAAAAAAGATACCAAATGGGAGAAAAACAAGTTACAATAATCTGCTATGCAGACGACGCAATACTACTCTCTCAAACTGAAGATGATTTACAACGTATGCTACACCAATTTAATATAATTGCTAGAATATTTAACATGATTATTTCCCCAAATAAGTCAAAACGCATAGTTACAACAGCAAATTTACTAAGATGGTAATTGGAGCTGGAAGTTCAGATAATAGAACAAGTGATGCAGTTTAAATGTCTAGGTATCACATTATCTAGCTACAAAAAATTCGAAACTGAAATTAAAGATTATGCGAATAGAGCAAACAGAGCCACAAGCTGCCTGAATGAAACAATATGGAGAAAAAAAAATATCGGGAAAGGGAAGAAAGGCAGAATTTACAAAACAATCATCAGACCAATGTTGACATAGGCGGCAGAAACAAGACCTAATACAGAGAGGACAAAAAGGATGTTAGAAATAGCAGAGATGAAAACACTTAGAACAATTGATGGTAAGACACTATGGGACCATGCTAGAAGTACAGATATAAGACGTTTATGCAAGGTGGAGAACATCACGAACTTGGTAAGACATAGAAGAGTAGAATGGAACGATCAGATAAGCCGAATGACAACAAATATTTTAGTAAAGACAAAAGGAGACGGTTCCCCAATAGGAAGACGATCAGTAGGAAAACCACGAAAACGATGGAACGACATCTTACTGGGGCCACATTAAAAACCAGACAGAGTCATGTCTATATAAAAATAAAAAGAAGAAGAAGATGTTGACACAACAGCTAATTCCGTCATAGGCATATGTTCTATGGCTTCTGTGCTATACCTCATTGTAGTCACTACCCACTAATTTCAGTCAATCAGCTTTCAAACGCAGTGGGATATATTTTTTTGTCTGTACTTAGTTGAATTAATTACGGATAACAACAATGATTTACAGAACCTAATGCAACGCCTTAATGAACGCTATCATGAGTACGGACTGAAGATAAATTTAAAGAAAACTAAATGCATGATCATGACTAAATCTGCACATGCAAATATCCAATTGACTATTGAAGATACTGCAATTGAGAATGTTAATAACTATAAATATTTAGGAACATGGATAACATCAGATGTAGACCAAACCAAAGAAATTAAAACACGTATTGAAATAGCACGTACATCATTTATTAAACTTAAAAAGTTTCTTTGTTGTCGGGATATAAGGTTAGAACTACGCCTGAGAATGCTTCGATGTTACGTGTTCTCTACTCTTCTTTATGGTCTGGAAGCTTGGACACTCAAACAAGTTCATCTGAATAAGTTGACCGCCTTTGAATTTTGGTGTTACAGAAGAATCCTATGAATATCATGGATTCAAAGAATGTCAAACATGGAAGTAACTAGAAGGATAAGAAATGAGGCGGAAATAATATTAACTATTAAAAGACGAAAACTTGAGTACTTGGGACATGTGATGAGAGGGCAAAAATACGCATTATTACAACTTATTATGCAGGGCAAAATCCGAGGAAAGCGAAATGTGGGAAGACGAAGAATATCCTGGCTTAAGAACTTAAGGGAATGGTTTGAATGCAGTAGTGCAGAACTTTTTAGAGCGGCAGTCAACAGAGTCCGCATAGCCATGATGATTTCCAACCTTCGATAGAAGATGGAACTTAAAGAAGAAGAACTTAGTTGAAATTTATAAAAGAATGAAATATGGAATGAGGTTCATTTTATGGTCTGCGGAAATGTTTTAGGGTGAGTACTTTTATTAAAACCTAAATTTTATAATTCTGACTGTATTTTAAATATTCATAACCTCACTTCTTTCACAGCCATGTTTTCAATTTTATGCATGTAGGAATCTTACAAAACTTAACTTTTTTTAATAATAAATATATTTCACTCTATCCTTGCCATCTACTATTTGTTAATTGTGATTTTGTAAATAATTGGCAAGAAAGTTAACCCCCTTATGTCTTTCTAATACAGGCTGTGTTATATTCTAGTTTCTGGAATATTTTATGGAATATTATATGGAATAATTTATAAAATAATTTATGGAATAATTTATGGGATAATTTATTAAATTAAATGATGGATTAACCACATATATAACCAACTAAGACTGCTGCTATCTTGAAGACCATGCAACCACTATCAGGAGCCATCAACAACTTACCCTGTCAACAACATGAGGCCATAAGTATCAGTTCTAAATTTGTTAATTGTAAAGCTTTAGGCAGGGTATTTTTGAATAAACTAAATATTAGTTTGTTTTATGCTGAAAAATATGATTAGTTTATTCATTGTTTTATTTGTTATCAACTGAATTTTCATTATTTAACTTATAGTTTAAGACAAGACGGATTCACACTTGAGAGATTAGGCGAAGCATAGACGATGAGCTCCCACAGTTAATTGATGTATTATTTTATAATAGTACTTCAATTTTCTTTGGTAGTCTGAACGTACTATAACAACAATCTAATAAAAAATATAATACAAGATAATTGCAACATCAAAGTACTCAAAGCAAAAAACTCAAGCGGTACAACAAAAATCATAGAAATAAAAAATGAGAAAAACGTCACCGTCAGAGACAGAAAGGAAATAAGCGAGGCCATTGAAAAATTCTACACTAAATTATACTCGGTAAATACACAACCACAACAACGACGTACTCAACGGACAATAATTAACACCGGCTCAGAAGAAATACCAGACATAACCGACTATGTAATAAGAATGGCCCTAAATCAACTTAAAACGAATAAATGTCCAGGAGAGGATAAGATTACAGTTGAAATGTTGAAAATTGGTGGCAGAAAAATGGAACAGGTATTAAATGTTTTATTTAATAAAGTAATTGATGAAGGAAAGATTCCTCAAGAATGGTACAACTCCGAGGTCATTTTACTATTTAAGAAAGGAGACAAAGCAAACATCGAGAATTACCGACCAGTATCCTTGCTATCACATCTGTATAAATTATTAACTAAAATCATAACCAACCGCCTAACACATAAGCTCGATTTCTATCAACCATTTTAATGCCATTTTAATGCCATAGACCACTTGCACACCGTAAGAACACTGATGTATAATGATCGAATTCATATGGCGTTCGTCGATTTTCATAAAGCATTCGACTCCATCGAATTATGGGCAGTACTTGAATCTCTAGAAAATGCACGCATAGATCGAAGATACACTAACATAATTAAAAACATATATGAAAATGCCACCATGCATATAAAGCTGGACGAAAGCACAAAAACTAATCCCATAAGACTACAACGGGGAGTAAGACAAGGAGACACCATCTCTCCCAAACCCTTGCTCTAGAAGATATTTTTAAGAAACTGGAATGGAATAATGGTATCAACATGGAGGGATCATACTTAAACCACTTAAGATTCGCAAATGACATAGTTTTAATGGCCGATAATATACAAGAACTAAATGATATGTTACAACAATTAAATGCAGTTTCAGGAACGGTAGGCTTAAAAATGAACTACAGCAAAACAAAAATACTGAGCCGAGATCAGACAAATATAACAATACAAAATCATACCATAGAAAATGTTGAACATTATGTATATCTAGGTCATGTTATTTACCTAGGAAAACCAAATCAAGATGCTGAAATTAAAAGAAGAACACAACTGGCATGGGGCGCTTTCGGAAAACTAGCACATATCTTAAAAAACACCTCTATTCCTATAAACTTAAAGAAAAAGGTGTATAACACATGTGTACTACCAGTTTGTACCTACGGTTTGGAGACAGTAGCCCTAATTAATAAATCAGCTAAAAAATTAGAAACAACGCAAAGAGCAATGGAACGAATCATGCTTGGAATATCACTAAGAGACAAGATTAGAAATACCGAGATAAGACGTAGAACAAAGATTAGGGATATTGTGGAAGAAATTACAAAAATGAAATGGCGCTGGGCAGGTCACGTAGCCCGATATAATGACAAAAGGTAAACACTGAGAATTCTAGAATGGAGACCAAGGACGACAACAAGAAGCATAAGAAGACCTCAAAAAATATGGGTAGATGACATAAGAGCAGTGGCAGGCACACAGTGGATTAGATTGGCGCAAGATAGAGAAATATGGAAGCAATTGGGAGAAACCTACATTCAGGAGTGGATGGAAAATGGTTAACAAAGAAGAGAGAAGAGAAGTCTGATCGTTATAGTTTATTTAAAAATAAATTTTTAGAGTAAAGAAAAATGTAGACTCACGGTCTGAAAATATAATTGGCAACCAACCAACACTAAACTTTGGCACTATACAGCAATTTCCAACAAAGTGGTTAACTAAATCCCATACATATGACATATAACGTTTTCATCTACTAAGGATATTCTCTATTTCTAGGAAACTTTTTCCTTTTGTTTCTGGTAGGTATAAATATAATCCTATAAAACCGCTAAAGCAGAAAAAACTCAATGTAAACATACAATAGTGTACACCCAGATATTCGGCTACCATTGGATAGACAAAGGCTGTTGCAAACATTAGTAAATTACCAACCAGTTGGGCAATACTACATCCAAGAGATCGTATCTCGTTGGGAAGTAATTCTGTTCTTAATATAAAAGGTAGAGAAGTAAGACCCAACGTATACATGATAACAAAAATTATGAAAAATAGTACGGGTAATAGTTTAATAGGTTGGGATAAAATGTAGTGGTTTTCTTTAAAGTAGAAAAAAATACCGAGTAGAAACATAGAAATGCCACAAATAATAATAGCTAAAAGCAGTAAAAATCTCCTGCCTATATTATCTATAATGTTTAGGCCCAGCAAATTTGAAATAAGTTTAAATACTATTACTATTATTGCTAAAGTATTACCAGATAAGCTGGTAGTCACGTCATTAAGTAGGGTTCCTAAAAAGGCCAATACTATATGCATTCCTGCTAAATTCTGAATACTAATTACAGCAATGGAAAGTATTATTGCTCTTTTTACAGATTTTTTCTTTATACTAGTGTTTTTTGCAACAACTGACCTATCATTACTTTGTTTAAGTATTTTATGTTTTTCAGAAGCTATCAGCTCTAAACTATCAATATCTGTAAACTTCCCTAATTTCTTTAGTTCTTTAATTGCTTTATCCTTATTGCCTTTTAACAGTAAATATACTGGTGATTCAGGTATAAAATATGAAAATATATACAAAAGTATTATAGGTGCTCCACACAGCAAGGAAAACAGGTTTACGTTAGTAACTGATCCTATCGTAAATGCGTAAAGTTGTCCTAATACTGATGCTGTGGAAAGAAAGTATCCTAGAGTTCCTCTGTTATGATCTTCAGCAATTTCAGCTGTATATATTGGCACTACGATGCACCCAGCCGATACCACAGTTGATATTATCGTTAAACAAATATAAAATAAGTATACTTCATTGGCAAAGAAAAGACCGAAGAAAGCTGTAAATAAAATTAAACACAAGTATTGTATAGTCCGTTTTCGTCCTATCAAATCTGGAATTTTTCCTGTTAGTATCGTTCCAAGTGCAGATCCTAAAGGATTAATCGATGTCATTATTGAAATTTGAAGCAAACTCATCGGTTTCTCCAGAGGGTTGATTGAGGTATCGTTGGATTGCAGTTTGGGAAGCACTGGTGAAGTCCATACTAGCATGCATCCTGAAGTGATGAAGAATAGGTTTACTAAAATATAAAAACATAAGATAAAAATTATTTTGAATATTATGCTAGATTATTAAAAATGTTTAGACGTCTCATTTTTTTATAAAAATACATACTTTTAAATAATAATTAAAGGTAAATATATAATAATTTATTTGCAATAATAACTGTGTGACCTAAATTGGTGACTTTTTTATTTCATTTATTTATGAAAGGATCTTTTCAGTAAACTATTATAATTAAGCAAACTAATTGGTATTGTAGAACCCAAATAGTTTTATTCGGTGGTACTTTTATTTTTTTCAAATTTATGGTATTTAGATAGAAGCTTAGAAGAACAAGAGCAACTTTATCTCTAAGGAAATTTTAAAATTTTCTTTAATAAAACGTGTCCAATTATATGGTTAACGATAAATATATTATGTATATTAACCGATAATGAACATAAGTCATATTTCACCATCTAAAGTTCTGTCGATTTACTTTGTAATTCAAAGTCAATATTTGTATAAAAAAAACCAAAGCATCAGTTACGTAATGTCCTACTTCTTTATTTTTACCTCGCATAACTACTCTAGCAAGGTCTAGATAATAAACATATTTTTCTGGTATACGTTTAATGTTTATCAAATACCTAACCTTAAAACTGATGTGATTGTTTTGAAGGTCTACTAGAATAATAAATTTCACACGGTTCTGTATCTTCTGTTTTAAAGGAAATTTAAAATCTTCTCCTTAAAATATATAAAAAAAAATAAGTTAACGTATTAAAACTTGTTGTCTCGTGTTTTTATTAGTGTATATTATTTAGTGAGATTTTCTGGTCAGTTTTTTCTTAAGTCGTCTTTCCTCTCTTCGATGGTTGGATAGTTCACGAACTAATCAGTTTTCATGGTGTAATATATTATTTTTGTACCTTTTTGGTCCAATGTCGTCAATAATTACAGGAATTTTTAAACCTTTCTGTATTGTTAAGCTGGAGATGAACCAGGGAGTGTTCATTATGGTGCGTATTGTTTTGGACTGAAATGTTTGTATTATAAAGGTATTGGATGGGTTGGGGCATCCTTAGACTTCAATGTCCATTTATTGGAATTTAAAACCATTTCCATGTCCAAATTGGCTTTAACATTTACTAATATACAATTTACTATATAAAATTTCCTCATATACAATATTTACTACTATACAATTGCAAGCAGTTGATACTGTGACTATTCTACGATAAGCCAATTCATTTGTCTAATTTTAAGAGCTAGTTTCCGCTTTTTCGCCTTATCCTGAACTCTCTAACAAAATATTTATCTTTAAATGGAGTCTTTAATATTTTATTTCTGGTTTTATTGGTATTGTTAAAGCTGACTTGACGATAATTGTTGCATCTTGTAGTAAACATAATTAAACTAGACTTGTTACTGTTAACCTTTATTCGTCATTTGTTAAACCATTCTTGTAATAAATTAAGGTGGCATTGCAAGCGTATAGATACAAGGAATGGTTCTACATTAGCCGAGAGCTAAAACCTATAATTTTGTCACATAGAGATGGAATATTTGTCAGTTTAGCATCTCTAAGGCAGGTAATATACTGGCGTAAAATACGCCGCGGGAGATACGCAGCGCATTTGGTTAACATATTAGACGAGCGTTTTATTTCACGCCTGTTGGCAGAAAGAGTACAGTCATAGTCAGTAACAAAAAGGATTTAGTTCAAGTCGGATGTGTTGCTGCACTTTAGTGTTAAAAAAACGAAAAAACAAAAAAACTATTCGTCGTAGGTGGGTTCATCCTGTTATTAGTAGCAGACTTCAGACAGGACAATTTCGTTTAAAATTTTGCGAACACAGACAGTATCCTGAAAAATTTTTCTCATACTACCGCATGTCTGTAAAAAGTTTTGATAAACTGCTGAAGCTGTTAGAAAGTAAAATAACCAAGAGTACAACCAATATGCGAATTCCAATTGACCCTGCAGGACGATTAGTTATTACAATAAGGTAAATAAACAAAGTAAGATAAAATTTTATTAAAGTAAATTGTTATCCTTAACAAGTCGTTAAGGTAAAATAAGTGAAAGTGTTTATATAAATCAATTAAAGTATCTTCCGATGCAGCTGGTGATGAAGGGACTAAATACTGTGAAGTTGATTGAGTGGATCCAGACGGAGAGACTATAAGAGAGTAAGGCGAGGGTAATTGGTCGGAAGAAGGAGCGGAGTTTCTAAGCACTGTAGTGACAGACTGGATGCAGCGCAAAGACGGGTTGAAGATAGTGGCGGTTGTTGCGAGTACTTGCGAGACTGCTTTATATACACTTGTTGAGAATGTGGCATATAGTTTAATTGTTGGCTGGTACTCAGCTGATTGTTTATTTATGGTTGTTGCTTGTATGAAGAGGACTGCTGTGAATATGAAGACTGTATACTGTATTGAAAAGGCTGCATATAATTTTTAAACTGGCTTGTATTATGTTGATTGTTTGTTTCATAAATATATGTACTGGTGTATATTTGAAGCACTTCCATTATCTTTAGTCTAAAATTGATTAAATTCTGTTGCGGCATACTGTTCATAATTGGCAATAATTACATTAAAAAAACCTTATTACCCATAACGTTGTCCAATCTCTCCTGTTTTTGTAAAGCTACTGACTGCGACAATATCGCTATGATACTTTTTAAATCTTCATCTTCCTCTAATCTTCGTTTGCGAACATTTTTCTTTAATCTTTTGTTTTCGGGTTCTTTAGCTGTCTGAATTTGAATATTGCTTTCATTTATTGTTTCCGCAACTTGTTCTCAATCGCGAATTGAACAAGCAAGAAATGTCTTTTTAAAAATGAAACAAATGTTTACGTCCCAAACACTCAATCTCAAAATCCGATACCGAATGCTGAAATGTTACGTTTACAGCACCTTACTATATGGAATGGAGGCCTGGACCTTTAAAATCAACTCACTAAGGCGTTTGGAAAGTTTTGAAATGTGGTTATTTCGAAGGATGCTGAAAGTCCCCTGGACAGCGCATATGAGCAACGAGCAGGTCCTACACAAGATGGGTACCGACAGAGAACTCTTAAAAATAATGAAAACACGGAAAACCTCATATTTGGGACACATATACAGAAATGAGAAATACCAGCTACTGCAGCTTCTTATAGAGGGGAAGGTAGAAGGAAGACGTGGTCCTGGTAGACGGCAGGCGTCCTGGTTGAAGAACATTCGTGAGTGGACTGGTTTGGATTCTCAATCTTTAATAAGAAAAGCCAGGGACAGAAATGATTTTGCTGAGGTTATCGCCAACCTTCATTGAAGACGGCACCCAAAGAAGAGAAGAGCAACTTGTTCTCTATCTTCTTCTTTTCTCTCTTGAATATTACATGACGTTGGCCTCTTTTTCATATGAACCGCTAAAAATGAGAGTCGATCATAGTATATATATTTTCGCTTTCTTTGTGTAGCGGCTTGTCCGCTTTTAAATTTCTTCTCTATGGTAACTTCTCGTTTAAACTGATCACGAAGTGATTTTCACTTGTTCTGAAGTTCTTTTCCTAAAACAAACCTTAAAACACCGTACCATAAAAGCAATTTTTTTTAAATTGCATATTCTAGTTGAATAAAAAAGTAAAAAACTCACCTAACTTATTTTTCTCGTCTGGGGATAAATCGTTACAGTTTTTAACCATTTCATTTGCAATTTCACTCCACAATTTGGCCTTTAAATCCCTATTAGAATATTCCTATGTAGGTTGTAAAGCGCAAGGCGCCTTTCAATTTCACTGATAAATTTTTCTGTATCATACATATTTAATTTAAAAAAGTATTTTTTGTTGTGTCTGTAGCTCTGGCGTGACAAACATCTCGTCTATTGAACACATAAGAAACAATGAGTTGCATGCTAGTCCGTTTCTCTCGCCGCGTGGACAACGCAGCAGATTGCAATTGGCTGGCGTAGAATTGCGAGAGCAACGCTCGGGTATTACCGTCCATTGAAATGCATGGTTCCTATTATAACGTAGAATACGCTGCGTATCTCTCGCAGCGTATCTCACGCCCGTCTATTACCTGCCTAAATAACTTGTTTATCCTCGGTGCGTAATTATCTGCGGTGATCGCTATGACGATATTGCGATAGTAGCTATGAACAACATTTAGTCATATAGATACGATATGTTGCTTCGCTTGACCCATCTCTAAGCGATGTAAACATAGTCATGTGCCCGGATCTCCAACTAACTACGACATAATTTGTAAGTACACATTTTTTATTAATAAAATCATCAAAGTATCCAAGAATAAAATAAGTACACCACGCACATTAATATAAATGTTGATCCAAAGTGATATTTTTGCAAAATCGGATCGGGACGATACTCAGGTCAAACAAAGAGTAAAAGTTATATATCACAAGAAAGCAGTTTCAGAACCTTTTTAAAGAGTGAAAAGTTGCTAAGAATGGAGTCTGACACTATTGGCAATGATAAGAGGTTACATTATTTCACCTTATATCAATCATTCTCCTACTTAGTTGTAGCCAGTAAATAAAATCAACCGGTGTACCGATCGAAAATATGAAACAATGTGTTCGGAAATATTAACTACAAAAATACGTAGTAATTATTGATTCCTAAACTAGTTCAAATTTTAAAAACTCACTCTATTTTATCGAAAATATCCAAGATCGGAATTTGCATTTATTAGTGTGACTTTATTATTGTAAATAACATACAATTTAATGTCTGCAAACTAATCACTTTGGGTGTAAAGCCATTATTAGATATTAACCCGCGGTTACATGCGCTATGAGGGAATACCTCACCATATTTATTTATAACCAATGAAATTATCTTGGCTAATACCATAACCTTAAGCACCGAGGAATGCCTTTATTATCGTTCATGAGAGAGTATGACAAAGTTTTAGAATATTTCATGCGGTCAGTGTGCGGTGATACTAGAAAGAAGTGACATCCTTCTTTAGGTGAGCGTATTCCTCACTCCGCGTGCAATCACGGTGAAATCACGTTTCTGTTAGCTCAAAGAAATTTTTAGGTTTTTGTTTAATATTTGGGTAAGTTTAATTAAAATATTATTGTTTAGGTTAATTGTTAATTTTAATTTTAATTTTTAGTAAAATGGACTCGCGTAAAGAACGTGAAACAACCTAGTTACTGATACGGATGGATTCTTTGGTGACCTGGAAGACATTCTAGCAAGATTAAACCTCACCAGTGCTGGCAGAGAAAGATGCGGCAGCAAACAAAGCAAAGTATATAAGAAGAAAGTTTATAAATTATTTCGATAATATTCCGCTGGAAGATAGGCCAGGTTATTGTCTAAAAATACCCTTAAACTCTTTGAACATTGCTGATAGTTTTAGAACGTTAAATTAATTACTTAATCTCAGATTTTATCTTTTTTTGAAGTAAATTGCACTTTTGACTAATTAGCTTATTATGCCTAACTGGTAGTCAAATTAAATTTGAAAAAGTCTGACTTACCTAGTCTACTATAATAGACATCTATAGTAAGTGTTTATCTTTTAGTTTGAGAATTCTTATTTATATTAATTATCTGTCGTTCTAAGTTGTGTTGCTATATTCTTCCAGTTCTTTCCAAAAACATGCCGGTTATTATGTCTATGTATTCTCCTAGATACTGTCTTTTTTTATTTTTTTTCTTTTTTTTTATCTTTTTTTAAAGGATGAGCCGAAAGCCCCACTTGTTCCATGCGTACCCTTAGAATTATATTTAGATCGAAAAGATATAACAAAGATGATGTCCTTTTAACACGGCAAATGACAGAATAAGCCATTGAATGTAATATGACAGCAATAATATTTTTTTTATATCTGAAAGACTTTCCAACTAACCGACATCAGCAATTTACTACTTAATATTCACATCTTCTACAGTAATAATAAATACACAGGAAACATATAACACACACGAATTCAAGTAAAAATAAACGGAGAACTCTCTCAGTCGATACCATTAAACAATTCGACTGGAAGTCATCTGCTAGAACTCCATTACTATTTACTATTATCATGAATAACATAGAACTAGAATGGAGAAAACTACAATGAAAGGCATATGAAATCAGTATTAACGGAGAATATTTAAACCATCTAAGCTATACAAATGAGATCGTTCTTATAAAATCAGACTTCTAGAAATAGATATAGATAGATATAGATATAGATATAGATATAGATATAGATATAGATATAGATATAGATATAGATATAGATATAGATATAGATATAGATATAGATATAAATATAAATATAGATATAGATATAGATATAGATATAGATATAGATATAGATATAGATATAGATATAGATATAGATATAGATATAGATATAGATATAGATATAGATATAGATATAGATATAGATATAGATATAGATATAGATATAGATATAGATATAGATATAGATATAGATCTAGATATAGATATATATATATATATATATATATATATATAGATATATATATATATATATATATATAATATATATATATATATATATATATATATATATATATATATATATATATAGATATAGATATAGATATAGATATAGATATAGATATAGATATAGATATAGATATAGATATAGATATAGATATAGATATAGATATAGATATAGATATAGATATAGATATAGATATAGATATAGATATAGATATAGATATAGATATAGATATAGATATAGATATAGATATAGATATAGATATAGATATAGATCTAAATATAAATATAGATATTGATATAGATATAGATATAGATATAGATATGATATATATATATATATATATATATATATATATATATATATATATATATATCGCTGTTGAGCGTAAAAAAGGGGGCAACTCATTTTTGATGAAAACGGGATTAACTCAAATATAGGTTAAAAAAAGTACGTTTTAATGGTGTGAAAAAGGGGACTAGTCAATGTAGCTGAATTTATATGTAAAGTTGATTGTTCCAGAAGAGGCACTTACAAAGTAGTACATAAAGTTTAGTGTAAAAAAGGATATGTTAACATATTCCTTTTGGCACAGCCGATATCAGTATTTCGCTTAATGGATAATGAGACAGCTTGACTTGTCCCCTTATTCACGGTTAGCTTTTAATGTAACTAGCAACCAACTTAACACCAAAATAACAATACTTGTTTAAATTTAGTAATGTCAATAAAATAAGTAAAAATTAAAAAATATCCAGAGGAAAACAAATTCTAAATATGCTTAATTTCGATGGTAAGTAAAATCATATTTTATTTTCCACTGGTAGTTGTACAATATTTTTACTGTCATCTAGAATTATCTAGTTGTTTCTGTATGTATTGTACACAGAATAAATAAAACAAATGGGATATTGTTTTACAGATGAACAAGAGAATGGTCGTATATATTGTTCATATAAGGAAACTGTATTAGAAAATTGCAGTAAAAGATGTACAAATACTGACAATTACTTGGAAGGGATTATATCAATGCAGAAAACCTATCCGTCTGGTAAGTAATAAATAATTTTAGTAAGAGTAGATACACGTAATACAAACTATGGAAGAAATATGAACAAAAACAAAATGCGCATTTAGTGTCGTTCTTTTGTTGTTTGCTAATAAAAATTTTTTTAACTAATTTTATTTTTGTTGCATTTTAGAGCTCAATGCCAGAGATGAGTTTGAGATGTCCTACGCCAGTAGCGTTGCTTCATCACTTCCACATGAAATTCAGGATCTATTAGATTTTCCATCATATGATAGTATTGCAGATCCAAATTTTGTCCCTGCGCAGGATGAAAAATATGATAGCTTTGCCGAAGACAGCAATATAGTAGAAAGAAAAAAAAGAAGAGCCAATTCAAAAGATATAAATAACACTGCAGTAGACAAATATAACTTCGACGGGCAAGTCCACGAGAAAGTTAAAAAATGCACGAATAAAGAAACGAGAAAAATGAGACAAGAGAGACGAGAAAAACGAAATTTTGGTAAGGCGTATGTTACAAGAACTGAAAAATTGATTGAAGAAAAAACTATGCAAGAACTGAAGTTATGTAAAAATAAGTAAAAGGAAAAAATAAAGGATGAAGTTCGCTTGCAACTTTTTTAAGAATTTTGGGAAATGGGAAGCTACAATCGTTGGTTAGAATATATAGCTGCTCTCATGGATGTTAAACACAAGAGTTCTCTGCGAATTAGGTGTTCTGACCCAAGCAGGTTTGGTTTTTGTGTTTCATAAAGCATAAAATCTAGCACATCTTGCATCAACAAAAAGTCCGACATAGACAAATTAAGCAACATTTATTGTTATTTACTAGAAAAACACCAAAAATAAAATAAATGTTTACCTGTACATAAATTACACCTCTCTGTATAATATGTTACATACCACTAAGACAGGTTTAAAAAGTATAGTACCTAAGAAGGGCCTCTAGTATTTCTTGAAAAGAAAGATAACATCAATTACACCTATCGTAATATTAATTACAATGTTTTTACTTTCCATTTTCTGTATGAGTTAATATACACCAGTAAAACATGCCATCAACCAAGTTTTACTATTTTTACAAAAAATTTTAAAAATTTTATAATGTATTCTGTCCATAATTGTATATTTTAATGTGTGTTATAAATGTTGTGTGTTAATGCTTATATAGAAAA